GGTGAAATGCACAGCTCTGAAAGAAAATCAAGTTGTCTGTCCTATACTGCTGGCTCCTAGCAGCAGTGTTTATAGTCAGTTAGTTTTAAATGTGCTTACATGAATATTCATGGCTGTGAGCTTCGTTTTCAGGAAGTTTCATTTAAATGATCTCTTTCAAAGTGTGAAAAAAGATTATTGCCTTTTTTTTTTTTTTTTTAAGTCTTTTCTTTTTTTGTCAACCATGCAGGTCTGGCATCACCCACATCAGGCCTTATCAGCGTTGGCAATTCCCACTAATTTTCCCTCTCCACTCCCACAGACTGCTGCTGCCAGCCTCTGTGCCGCCCACTACCCCACCATCCCCATCAGCAGAGAGGAGATAGCCAATGTCTCAGGAGCTGGCGACAGGTATGTTGCTCACTGCTTTGTACTCTCCAACTAAGTGTGAAAGGGCCATAATCGGATTTCTTTGAAATTCTACTGCAAAGGTGAGAACGACTTTCTGCTGCTGGAGGAAGAGACACCAAGGACATGAGAACAGGGCTGGTTACTGTGATTCTTTGCAAAGCGCGATAAAAATGTCCCCTGAAGCATCTTGGAAGGCTTGCCATTATTAGTTTTGCTTTTCTTTAAGATCTAAGCCTTTCCTGGCAATCTAAGAGTTCTGAATTAGTCTGGGCTGAGCTGCTAAAAGCAAAGCAAAGTAAACCACCTTACATCAAAGCTGTCTTACTAACTAACTGCTTTACTTCCACACTTCTCCAATGGAAGTGGAACTGCCACTCAGTAGCAAAAATGGCCCTATAAAAGCATTTCATCAGGTTCTGCATTTGCCTCTGGCAATTTTGAAGCTCTTGCTTCAAAAGAGTCTGCTGTATAATTCTCCTGGCTGTTCACACACGCCGTACATAGGAGTGGGAAATGACAGCTATTATTGCTAGCCCTGCTGATCAGTTCTCAGTTTGTCAGAGTAATATTTTATTATGCTCCTTTTTTACTTGACAAACTATATGTAGCAGTCAGGTGGGGTTTTTTTCTTGCTTCCTATGCTGAAAGAATTGATTCTGTCCTTTCATTGCCTGGGGCTAGACCAAAAGTCTGTACATAACAGAGATTTCCTTTTCTTTTCCTCTGCTTACCTACCAGTAACTCAACATAGCAACACTTCTTTTTTTCTGTTATCAGTGGGTAGAATGAAAAGGTTTTTTGGTGTGTTTTTTGGGGGAGTTTTTTTGTTTGTCTTTAAACATATAGAGTCCTCAATATTTGACTTAGGATCAATCAATAATTTGCTGCCAAGCTACTTAGCCCACTTAGCACCAGGACATGCTCCTTGTGTTCCAGATCACCTCTGAGATGAGCTGACTGCAACTGCAAGCTGGTCTTCTCTAGGGTTGTTTGGAGCAATAGGTGTAACAGCAGGAAGAGGGGCTGGAGAAACCTCACGGAGTCAGCCTGCCTAAGGAAAGCTCAGCTTTGCTCATGACCCCAACAGATGTCCCCAGTGTCTGCCAGCCCCTCCAGGGAGCCTCCTCTCTACACCATCTGCTCAGAACACAAGTACCCCTTACTGCACAGAAATCTTTTCTAGAGTCTAATGTAAATTAAATATCTTCTTTAGGGATTCTTTTCCCTTTTTAAAAAGTTAAATTAAGGGAAGACCAAAGGTGAGATAAAGCATGCCACTGCCAAACACCTCCACTGAGTTATACTGGAGAACCTGGTAGTTTATTTTTCTTTCCAAAGCTATCTGAGAGCTAAGGGCTCATTACTGCTCCCATTCCTGAGGTAATGTTCGTCTGGAAATCCCTCTCCCCAGAGTCCCAAGATCCATGTGGGGCAATTTTCATAGTCCTCTTGTTTGTCCAGGGTTTTCTTTCCTATTAACCTCAGCTGCTCCACTGAGCTGCAGAAATTCCTGTTCTACAGAGTAAGAGTGCCAAAACAGGCTGCAAATGCCAGGACACTGCCTTGACATGCCATCTCCACAGCATATGAATTGGTAACATTGCTCAAGCCCAGCCTGTTGGCAATTTTAAAGGACTTTCATAGAATCACAGAAGGGTTTGGGTTGGAAGGGACCCTTGTAGGTCATCTAGTTTAAACTCCCCTGCAGTGAGCAAGGACATCTTCAACTAGATCAGGTTGCTCAGAGCCCCATCCAACCTGGCTTTGAACATCTCCAGGGATGGGACATCCACCACCTATCTGGGCAACCTGTTCCTGTTTCACCATTCTCATTGTAAAGAATTTCTTCCTAAAATCCAATTTAAACAATAACACTTTCACAGCTTGGCCCCTGTGAACCCTCACACTTCTGAAGCGCTGGTTAGGGGGGAGTGCACATCCAGAAACAGTGATCCAGGGCACTTCTTGCCTTGCTTTGACCCTGTGGCTCTCCCACAAGTCCAGAGATGCTGTCCAAGGAGCTGAGCGTGCGTGCAGGCAGAAGTGGTGGCTGTTTGCTCCTTGCATGGGGCTGCCGTGACAACATAACACTGCCTGCCAGCACACGGCATTGCTAGGGGATGCTCCCCCAAATATTTACTCTCAACCTCTGGAGCTGTTGAGAGATTGAACACTTTATGGAAGTCATAATCTTCTGTACCTTTGTTATGGATAAAAAGATGTTAAGGTAACTAGCCCGAGTGCAAAAAAGGGGCTCTTTTCCCCTTTCCCATAGATGTGCTTATTAATCCTCCTTGCCATTGCATTTTCCTTTCCTTGCTTCTTTCTCTCAAATGGCATTGTCTTCTCCCTTCTCTTTCACATCTCCTTTGTCTTTTCCTAGCTGCAGAACATCATTACAGTAGTTAACTGTGAATAAAGAGTAGTTGTTCCCAGTCTATCACAAACACTGCCCATACCTGCCTCAGTGGAGCCTTCCCCGGCAAGCCAAAGTCATTCTCTTCTCCTAGTGGCCACCTCAGTGCCTTGAGGGGATTGAGGGTGATCGCTGCTGTTCCAAGCACTCACATATTTTTTACTGGGAAATCTCAAATGGAAAACCACAGCAACTGTGTTCAAAAATCTGAATTTCCAATCTCATTTCAGCTTTGGATTTCTTTTTCCAGCTGTGCCTGTTGTCCCTCTCACATAGGTATGGAAACTTTCCCTCTCACCCTATCCAAACCCTATAGGGAAAGGAGGGGACATAATGAGGCACCAACAAAGAGCAAAGAAGTGACAAAATAATTAGAGAGCAAGGGAAAAGTATATTCTTCCCATCTTAGACTCCTTTCTTCTCTTCTACCTCACCTGGAAAACTGAGGAGAATAGAAAATGTGATGGAAGAGAAAGTACCTCAGCTTCTGAGATGAGAAGCACATAAACTGCAAATAAATGACAAAATCCATATTTTGGATTCTAAATTTAAAAATAAATATAAAAAAGCAAGACCTATTCATTGTAACCTTAGCCCTCCTGTGTGACATATTCAGCTTCTGTAAGTGTTAGTTTGGGTCCAAATGAAAGCCCCTACAAATGAACAGCCACATTCCCGAGTTCAAAACTGTTCCCCTCCTGTTCAAAACCACCTCTCTTTCTCTCCACAGCTTAATGGCAGGAATCCTTGCAGGGATGCTTGATAAACATGACACAGAAACCTGTGTCCAGATGGGTCTGCTTGCTGCAAGCTTGTCTCTCCGTTCCTATGAGCCCATATCCCCAGAAATCAGCACTTCCAGTGTCAGCCAGGAGCAAGTCAAGAGTAGGAGTTGGCCAGAGGCGAAGGTATGGAAGATGGACTAGAACACAGTGGCTTTCTTATCTATCACCTCCTTGAAGTCCCAGCATTCCTATTTCCAGGAACTAGACTGTTTTGAGCGTTGAGCTCAAAAGCTTGGTGCTGACCAGAGGACTTAGACTTTCAGTACTTTTGGGAGGTGAATTGTTTGTAGAGTGCATTCGGTGAAAACTGATATTACACTGTTCACATTTATGTTTGTCTGCTGTTGTTAATGGTCCTTTTTTTTTAATTTTAAAAAAATTTTATTTGGTGGGTTACATCACAGGATGTAACTGTGGGCACTAACAGATTGGTGAACACTGAAACTCATTAAAACTAATTTCTAGTAGAGTTGGGTCTTGGTGCTGGCTGGTTCTTGAACAGACAGTAAGTCTGGAGTACAGACTCACCCTGTGTTTCATATAGAAACCACCCATAGTGAGAACCCTTGCTTGAGGAGCAGATCCCAGGTGTCTGACACAGCACAAAAGCCAACCAAAGGTTGGTCAGGGCAACTCTAACACCTCTCTCCTGGGTAGACTCTACTATTCAAGAATGCAATGGACAGAGGCATTAACTGGGTGCCCTTCCTCTACCCAAGACCACTTTCACCAAGCCCATACCAACTGCTTACCTCTGAGCCTGCTGCCTTTCCTTCAGACACACAAACAAGACACACAACTAAGACCTTGCTTGCAACTGCGGTTTATCTAAAAGATTCTGAGCTCTGAAATGGGAGATGCCATACAGCCACTCATTTACCTGGCATTGGACAGGGTGGCCCTGGCAAGAGGATGCTGGGGTGTTTGGGAACAGAAGGGAGGGGGACTGGGGCCCACGTAAGCAGCTGTGTTTGCTCGTAAGCAGGGAGGTGGGACACAGCAGGGGCGGGGGAAAAGGGCTGCGCCCCCAAGGTATGTCCCTGCTCTATAAAAATGACTTCAGCTGGATCCAGAGTCAGGGGGGAAAACAGCTTCCACCTCTGCTGCAGCCTCCAACAGCCTTGTCCAGGCAGGAGGACACCGAGCAAAGGCAGGCCCTGAGGATGAAGGTCCAGGCACAGACATTCACTGCGCTTCTCCTGGTGCTGCTCTGCTCATCCCCAGCACCATCTGGGGCACTGGGGAGCCAGGCCAGCAATCCCAAGAGGCAGCCAGGAGCTGGGGGCTCTGGAGAAGACGCTTGGCCACCTGGAGATGGAGGGGACAAGCTGCCTGGGCAGGGCTCAGAGGGGAGCCGTCCCCCAGCTAGTGCATGGAAAGTGATGGGAGAAGCACATCCCAGCTCTGGGTCCCCTGGCAAGATCATGGCCAAACCCCTGCTGGGCAGTGGGAATCAGATCCCTGCCAGCAAGCCCTGGAGGCTACCACTGCAGCCCTCCAGCAGCAGGATCCCGAGGCTGAGCCTCCACCTGAAGGACTACGGGAAGTTCAACAGTGACACGGTAAGCACAGCCTGTCCTTGGCCAGCGAGTAAGAGGGTCTGTGTGAGGGATTTGCAGGGTGGCTGGAGATGAATGGAGGTACCAGTCAGGATCAGGCAGGACTGAGGGCAGCAGGAGCAGATACCAAGCATCAGGTACAAAGGTGCTTTCAGGCTGTTTCTCATAAGGTGCATGTAAAGGTGCCAGTAACAACATGGCCTCACAGCACAGTGTGGCTTGTGGTGCTGACGTGGGAGGAGGGCAGGGACACCCCTTAAGCCCCAGCTGGTACCTGACGAGGCAGATGTATTATTTTACCACTTTAAACAAAACCAAAGACTCATCCCATTCTATCAATCTTCTGGAACTTTGCTTTTCTTTCTAATGGAAGCTTCTCTGTCCTGCCCTTCTGGGGGAAATGAAGAGGCTCTTTTGAGCTCTTCCCACTCCCAGGCATCACACTGCTGTCAGCTTCAGCGTGACGGAGCTTATAGACTCTTGCAATCGTGGTCCCAGGACTGAGCATTTCACATCACCCCAAACAACTGACTAACCAGCTGTGGGGCATGTGCACCCCAAAAGGAAACCTTCTGAATTTGCAAGAGGCTCCTTGTCAGGCAGCCCAAGCCTGCACAAAAAGTGCCTCTTCGAGCCTGTGAACAGCACAGGCTCCCTGGGACCAGGCTCTTGGAAGCATGAGCACAGTGACGACACAGCTGGGACTGGGAGGGGGTCCTTGTCTAGGGGCTGGGCACGGCTCAACACTGGCACTGCAGCCACTACTCTCCCTCTCTCTGCAGCACTCCTGCCACAGCATCCAGTCCCGGCCCTGCCAGAAGCCCTCTGACTGTGGTGGCTGCCTGGGGCTCTACACCTGTAAGCTGCCTGCTGGCACCTGCAACCTGAAAGCTGTCTCCAGGCAGAGAGGTGAGTTGTAACCTCCTCAGCAACTGGCACCAGGGATACCAACACACAGCCAAGCGCAAGCACAGCCCTTTGCCTGCACCTCTCCAAGCCCAAATCTGACTGCCCTGTGCCGGGCTGGATCTGGTCTCTTAGCTGCACAGGACTCACTGTCTGTCCTACTGAGACTGGCCACAACATACTGCATGGTAGATGGGACAATTCCATAAATTTCTGTAAGGGCTGGGATTTGACGGGCACCCTGAGATCTTGCAGGTTGGCAACAGCCCATGCTGGAAAACCAAGGAGGGGTACAGGGCTCGGCCTTTAGCTTGAGTCAGCAAGTGCAGTCCTGTGCAGAGCTGGGCCCTGCAGAGCTGCTCATGTTGGTGTGTGAGAGCTGCTTAATTAGCCAGGAACTCTCAGGGAGTAGAGATTGCAGCTTTTAATGTTTAACCAGTGTCCTGGTCCGTATCCTTCTGTAAATCCATGCCCCTAGATTGGCCTCTTGCCTCAGCATGTTTGTCTGCACCCACATACACAAGGTCATGGAACAGAAACTCATCCAAGGATACTAAACACAGAGACACCATCTCTGCTGCAGGAAATCCCTGGCTGTGGGATGTATAGCAGGCAAGTTTAAGGTTTTGGGTACTGTGTGTGTGTGTATATATAGTATATACGGAATTGAGTGCCCCTGGTGGTGCAGTGGCTAAACCGCAGCGTTGTCAATGCTGAGATCTGGGTTCGATTCCCGGTTAGGACACTCCCCGGGCAGATGGAGCTCGCTAGCCCTGTAAGGCAATCCATCTACGTCCTGAGGACCTCGCTGCCACCGTCCAAGCGTGCTTGGCCCCGGCAGATGAACCTCAGGAT